GATCGGGGCGCCCGGTGGGTACACATCCGAGACATCCGTCGAGTCAGTCCGCGCACGTCTAGAATGGCGATGCACAAGATCATCCGTACGTCGTAACTGCAGCAAGGTCAATTTTTTGTGGCGCCAGGGTAGACCCGTATCGCAAGATGCGGTACCAGAATCGACCCCAGCAGGTCGCGGCAGTCGTCGGTGAATCTCAAGGGCTTCTTCGCCCAGGTGCGGTCAATAATATGACGCCATCATCAAAGTAGCTGCGGTCCTAAAGACGCTCGTAAGCAGTCTCTAGACACCACTTATATTCTTGTGAGACAGGTGAGCGGGTATCCAATCGATCGACAAAAGCACTGAGACGCACCTGACTGAGCCATTCTTGCTCGCGTCATGACAACCTTCCACTTCCCTGCAGGTCCGTGTTCTTCGATGCCGGCCGCTCAGGGTGTGTTGTCTTTCTGCGGGCACGGCGTGTGATCCGAGACAAATGAATCATCGGAATGGGTCGTACCATGGGAGGTCCCTCCTATGCGTGCGATACAAGCTGTGCGACACAACTGTTGATCGCGTCCAGAGGTGAGGGGATCTGTGGAGAAACGCTCGAGAAGGGCCTTGGTAGACCTCCTTGGCTTCCGGAGAGCCTGAGCAAATAGTATGGGGCTGACAAGAGTTGCCTTTGATCGGGCGGCTGACAGAGACTCCAGGTCCCTGTGTGCGCAACAGGAACTGCTCGTTAGGATGCTACATGGACCAGAAAACTGCCCACCAACCTGAACATCCACGTTGTCCATTGCACCGCCTTTCACGATCAGTGGCCATGCTACCCATGGTGATGCGATAGGTATTGTCGACTACAGTGAGGGTAGATGTGACAAGACGACGGATGATGTTCGCAGGATGATGATGACCGGTGTGACCATGCTGGTGGACGTAAGGGTCCGAGGTGGAAGTGAACGCGCACCACCAAGGGTGTCGCCACGTCGGGCTCATGTCCACTAGCTGTGTACCGCAGATGCTGAGAAGTGGATGGAGGGTGCCGATGAGTTATACGCCGCATGCCAGTGCGTCGACAACTAGAGAATTAGCAGTGATGGAAATGGGAGTAGTTCCGCTGCAGAGGAGGGTAACTGTGTGATGAGCGGAGGAAGAAAGGAACGATGGACCCACCGTATCGTTGTTCGGTGCATTATACAGCATCTTGAACTGGACTGACAGGCAGCTGGCGCACAGAGCTTCAATAGACAGCCGCAGCTAGGCTCAAGTTCCGAGTCAGCCTCTAGAGATGGAAGACAGTCGTTCGGCCGCAGACACCGCACAACACTGATTGCAGGTCTGTCGAGGACGGCAGATAGACGTCGATTGAGAGCGCTGCTTCTCCTAAGACTATGCTAAGATTTAGGGGAGAGGTGTGCATGCATCAAGGGTGGATGAGGATGCTATGCGAAGCAGAACTTGAGTTGGACGTGCGGTTGCGCTGCAGCGACCTGGGGCTCGGAGGTGAGTGAGTGATAGATCTAGAGCGCAGACCAAGCGCAGACGCTGGCGACACGGATAGGCCCTATCACCTGACGCGTCTGTTACTTTGGCCCACTGTCCGAATTAAATACTCGTTCCTATCCACTGACACGGTGGTCCTCGCGAGCATGGCGACCGACCTCCTGCGCCAGCAGCTAGCAACCAAATGGAACAACTCCTTCGCCCGGCTCAATCGTGGCCAGCCAGGCATCCTTGGTCTCTTGTCTTTCAGCGAGGTGAGGTGCTCAGATCCTACGGATGCCCCATGCTAAGACCTTTCGTGAGGCGTGGAGTCTCGCGACGGATTTCCTACACCCTCGAGATATATCGGATCCTACACCTAAGAAAGAGTACGGTGAGTGTGGTCAACGTGCCGTCGAACGCACTCATTCCGACGTCTTGGGATGCTTGTGAACTCTAGACATGCTCAGCATCAAGGCGTCATTCGACTCACTGAGCAAATCCAAAATGCTGGCGATGCTGCTGGAGAACTTTCTCGGTGAGTGTTCAAACTATCCACGTTCGCGCTCGAGCGCCTCATGCAAATGCCAGAGGACATGCGGAAGCAACTATACCTTATCACGCGAGACGTTCACGAGATCATGTCGCAATTCGAGGTTTTTAGCGGTCCTCATCTTGTAAAACGTACCCCTCACACTGTCTGTCTACTCGCAGGAAACAGGGGAAACCTTGCATATTTCCCGACTCGTATTCCGCCTGGTAGAATGGTACAGAGCCTGGCAGCCTATTCAAGAGTGAGTGCCCAGACGATAGCGATGGGAGACAACGCCCGAACCGATGCTTGTCACCCAGGCTCGGACACACCATCCTCTCGGCCTACACCCTCAGCTTCCAGACACATGTCTTCTCCATCCTTCCACCCTCTTTTTCGCGCGGCTTCAAGAGTCTTGTCGAGGACACGTTCTCCCTCCCCTCTTCGTCCTTGCCCCCGCCTTGGGCCACGCCTTCACAGGGCCAGTCTGTGCTCGCACGACCAGACCTCCCGCTCTGGACGGCGTTTGAAACACTAGGCCTGCTGGACCGGTACGAGTCTCTCATCTCCAGCGTGTGCTATGAACACATCGAGGCGCACGTGCTGGAGACATGTGCAGGGAAGTGGGACGAGCCGATGCTTATACAGCTACGTGAGTGGATGGCGAACAAGATTGTGCCGTGGATGGTTATGCCTTATGCGAGAGGCGCAAGAAACGGTTAGTACCAGAGAGCGATCTCATGCGCGACCTGTTGACCTGAGGATCCGGTGCAGCGGAAGAAGCGCGGTCGATGTTACAGGGCGTTGGTTCGCGATTCGACTTTCACGTCTGTAAGACGTTGAGCGACTTGAGGTGTGATATCTCTTCTCATGGACCGATGCGAATCTTGTTGGGGACTTGACTCACCTCGTGGTCAGGACAAGAGAGATTTTCGACATTATCATCGACTACCCGGACTCGATGAGCGCACTACAAGACCTCAAGGTACCCTCGCTTGAGCAGATCTGTGTGTTGGATCTTGACCTAATTTGATCCTTAGGAATGTTTACAGCGCGTCGATCAACGGGGGCAACTAGTACAGACTCTACGCAAAGCGTGAGTTTGGGTTCGACGCGTTACACATGGATTGCTCATCTGTCTCATACACGGATCCATATAACAGCAATAAGAGGCGACTACTACATCCTGGTGCCGACACTAAGGACATTCTCACACAATACGTGTCCATCATTCGTTGTTTGCGCATTGTCGACCCTCCTGGCGTGCTTCTCTTCAAGGTTGCAGATCCTATCCGGAGATACCTCAGGTACGTGACACAACGTCCTACGACGTACATGACAATAACTGCATGGCCCGCAGAGATCGACCCGATACGATACGCTGCATCGTCGCGAGCCTGGTTGGCGATGGCGAGAGCGGAGACTCACTCGTAGATGAGAACGAGCCCATCCAGCCGCTGCAGCAGATACAAGTCGACGACTACACAGATGCGAATTGGGAACCCGAGCCCATTGATGCTGGTCCAGGTGCGCGGGTTTCGTGTGTTTTCCTGGGGGTTGCCTTTCATCTTCGCTATAGAATTCCGGACAAACAAGCCTGGCGATGTTATCAGCACGCTTGTCAGCATCTACGACTCGAAGGATCTATTCGTGAAAGAGCTCCAGATATTGCTTGCGCAGCGGCTGCTTGCCATCACGGACGGGAATTTTGAGCGAGAGGTAAGTTCGTGTGATGCTTCCTGACAGTCTCAGCTCGACGTATTCTGTATTTACAGCGGCGCAACATCGAGATATTGAAGATCCGGTTCGGCGAAGCGGCATTACAAGTATGCGAAGTCATGCTGAAAGACATGACGGACTCGCGGCGCATCGACCAGCACGTCCAGTCGCAGAAGAGCGTAAGTGAGCCCTGCGGTGATGCGTACCCCTTGAACTCTAACCCCCTTCTCCAGTTGATCCTCCACCCAACGATCATTTCCAGACATTTCTGGCCAGCGCTGCAGGCAAGCACGTTCACGATGCCGGGGCAGTTCAAACAGTACGTTCAAATGCTGCGAAAGGTGGATTTGCGTCGGCTGAATGACGGTCTACAGGCTTCAAGACGACTACGCGAAGGAGTTCAGCACGTTCAAGCCAGACAAGAAGCTGCGCTGGCTCCCGCACCTTGGCACCATCCATCTCGAGATCGAACTGCAGGATCGCACGGTCCCTGCGGACGTCCCGCCCCTCGAGGCCGCGTTCATTGAGCTGTTCTCGGAGAAAGGTGGCCCATCTGACACGCTCACCACACTGACGGCTGATGCTCTGCTCTGCTAGCCGTATGGACTGTCGACGAGCTCATCGCGCGAGTGGGCGCAGTCGATCGCACCTCTTCACTGAAGGCACTCACAACGTGGGCAGACATGGGTGTGCTGAAGGACGAGGACGGCCGGTACCGCCTGCTTGAGGTCGCTGAGGAGTCTGGTCCCAGAGCGAGCTCGTCGAGACACGGTGTGTTTTACCTCCTTCTGGGGAACGTGTTACTAAGGCGGAACTCCAGCGATTGCAACACTTATGGACGAGGTCCCAGCGGTGCTGACCGTGCAGGAACAGCAAGCCGAGCAAATGAAGGTCTATTGGAAGGTCTGTCGTGCCCGTATTCGTGATGCATATGCGTTGACGGAACTTATATGTCATGTAGTTTATTGAGGGAATGCTCACGAACCTGGGAACGCTCAGCCTGGACCGTATACAGACAATGCTGAAGTTTGCGCCGGGGTACGACCGGACAACTGAACAATTAGGTGCGTTTATGGAGGCGGCGCGAAGAGAGGGTCTCGTCACTGTCAAAGACGGTATGTGGAAGCTGAATCGTTAAATGTATGGGCACTACGGCTACATAGCACTGTATTGTTGGATGTGTTGTATATTATTTCATGTAATTGTATAGGATTGTGTTTTCACAACAAGAACCTCTGCTACGTTTCATGAGAAGAAGCTTCTCCAAAACACAAGTAAAAAATGCCCATTGGCTGGATTGAACAACCGACCTCACCATATCGTCTCGATACGAGTGGCGCGCTCTACCACTGAGCTAAACGGGCTTGCAGAAATACGACATTCTCTTGTTCTTGTCGTTCATTACAGCACACGGGAGCAAATTGTTCATGTCTGACCGGTACTATCACGTTCGACAGTGACGATACATCAATCTCTCCAGATTCTTTGACGAAACACTCTTTTCAGTACAGCCTTATATAACTTTCACCGTCGACTTTTTTTTGCCTCATTCGAACAGTAGAATCAAGATAATGACCACGCAACCCTCAACATGTAGCGTATCTAGTGTCGGAGGCGAAACATTTTCTGACGCATTATATGTAAGGTCCTTCATGATTTGTATATCGCGGACTGATTTTTGTGCAAGAATTATGAAGTGCACGAAGAGATGGGACAGGGTGCAACGGCAATTGTATATCGTGCGACTTGCAAACGAGGCCGGCTGCGCAACCGACAAGTTGCTTTGAAGAAGGTGGATGACGACTGCATGAGCTGTAATCTGACCAACTCACATTCGTAGATTTTCCCTCCTACGACGGGAGAAGGTGAAGCAGGCTGCGCACATCTCACGTCTTCTGCCAGCCTACACCAAGCCCTCCATCACCCGTCGATCGTTTCGCTTCTCTCGACTTTCTCCACGTCAACAGACCACTACCAGGTCTTGGAGCTCTGTTCTCGAGGCACGCTTTCCGACTTTCTGCACTCTCGAACACCTTCCACCCTCTCGGAGGACGAACTCCGCGGGATTGTCAAGACAATGGTGGATGCGTTAATGTGTCTGCGCAAAGAACGTATCATTCACAGGGACATCAAAGCCAGTAATATTCTACTTACCGATGATTTCCGGATTGTACGCTTTTCTCAGTCCTCAATCCATTCTATTCCAATTTATATTGCTTTCCAGAAACTTTCGGACTTTGGACTTGCCACGCAATTGCCTACGCTATCCTCCACAACATCGACTTTTTGCGGCTCTCCAAGTAATGTGGCACCGTAAGCGTGCACCGCCTACGCATCATGCATGTCGTGTCTGACGTTAGCGACCACTAGTGAGATCATATCCCATCTTCCGTATGGGTTCGCTGTAGATTTGTGGTCCCTTGGATGTTTGATGGTGACGTGTTTGTCGGGGATACCTGCATTTGAGGTACTTCTCAGATACCCTCCTTGCGGATGGCGTCTCATGCTTCTGTGCTTTGAGGCACCGTCGGTCTCTGAAATCTTTAATAAGATATCTTATGCGAAGTACAGCCAGCCAGAAAACATCTCGGCTGAAGCTAGGAGTCTGATTTCAGGTCTTCTCCAAGTTGTGAGTTTTTATATTATGTGTTCATTTATCAGTCTAACGTTTGGACATCGGTCAGGATCCGGATGCCCGACTTTCCTTACATCAAGTCCTGTCTCATCCGTTCCTTTCTCCAACCTTTCGCATTCAGCCGCTTTCGATACCATCCACCTTATCCTTTCAACCCCCAGGGCGAACACAGACGGAAAACGCCTTCCAGAACTTCCCGAAGCCGAAGAGATACCCTCAATCGTTATCCAAAATGCCTTCAGAGCAACATCCCTCAGAACGTGCGGCAGAAAATACTCAAGAAGAATTCACCCATTCTAGGAAACCTATGGCAGACATCGCTAATCTGGATCTGCGCAACGTATTGAGCAACGAGTTCCCGCGTGCTCTGCGGCTCCCTGCTGCTAGTTGGACTAGACGCGTAGTCTCCGCGCCTCAATCTGGACGAACCTCGACAACGGACCATCTGAAGCCGTATGGCTCTGCTTTCACTGCGAGAATTCTTTCTGTGCCTGCTACTCCTGCTTTGACTGTGGATTCTGGGTCTCTACCTTCGACTAGGAGTATAACAACCGTTGTGGAGAGCTATGACTTAGGTTTGAACAAGCGATGCCGATCTCCCATTGCGTATCCTCTGATTGGTGTACTTGGTCGACGTGATGTGGATGGACCACTGCCAAAGAACTCAAGAAGTGCCCTACCTTCGGTTGTCAAAGAACACTCCCTGAAATCTCTGTCAATTCCCGAAGACACGAAGCACACTGCTGTGGCTCTACCATCGGGTCATTCCTCTCTGCGCTTACATCGCTTCCCACCTGTCTCTGCAGTCTCTGCCTCCAGTAATTGCCCAACGATATTCACTTCTTCCTACTTGAACCCTCAGACGCACAAGGTTTCGCAGGGACAACTTGTTGTACTCCCGTCACAATCTATATTGGTCGACTTTCGTGAAGGTGAGCGCAGAAAGGGCAGGAAAGGAGATAAAGTGATTGTCGTCAGTCCTAACGGCATGATGGTATACTACAATTCTACTTACACGTTAAGAGCGCTCACAAAAGGATGTCTATTAAGATTAGCATATACAGTGCTCCACACCTCAGTACGCCCTGTTGCTTGGCGGAACCAGATGCCACATATTCCGTCGGAGACTTGCCCGGCACGTATTGCAAATCTTACAACGATGCTGCACGCTTGGTCAATCAACTTAAGCAGCGTGTCCCCAAGGTACGTATCGTACCACTAGTCCTCCGCATTTACTCTTTATATTAATTCCCTATGCGGCGTGATCAGCTGGTCCTACACAAGCCGGAAGCCAATTTCATCCTTATGGCGAACGAGCCCCATGGTGACATAGAAATCCACATCTCACCCATTGATCCGCCACACAACCAGAGCAGACGACACATGCCCGACATTGGGTCTCTGCCAAAACCTTCTATGCGTGTCCGCCTTTCTCGCCAGCGCCATGCGGTCGAAATTGCGCGCCATGTTCCCTCTGCCACACAGAGCAAGAGCAGGGGAGGCGAATGGACAAAGAAGGTCATTTCTACCGCAGGAGATCAGTTCGCTATCACGGACGATGACTGGGACTCGCTGGAGCCTCTTGAACACGCCGGTTTGGGACATTTGGCCTACTTCTTGCGCGTCTGCGAGAGTGTTGAGGCGCTCGACAACAGTGGGCATTCCACTCCAGGCAGTGTCTCGAAACCAGAGGGGCCAATCCCAGATACTACATCCGAGGATGATGACGATCCGAGCTATGGACGTCGAAGACTAGCGGAAGTGCTAGGGCGGATGGAGAATCGTGCACAAGCCCGGCCGCAGTCGGCTCTTAGTGATCGTTTACCTTCCTCTGACTGTACCGAAGGGGTCGAAGGGTTGTGGTCTACTGAGGCGACCACGGCATCTACCAAGGTCCTTCCGTCGATCAGTCTTCCTCCCCGCCCATCCAGGATCTCAATGATGCCCACCACACATCGTCCCTGGAAAACACCTGGAGCTACGCGGAGACCTCAAAGCGTTGGAGCAGCGTCCTTGGATGTGGCGGAAGATAGTTCAAGTCCTGAAGCGATTGGAATATCAAGCGTGGACACAAGCACTCCCACCACCGTAACGCCGCAGACGAAGTTTATTCCGTCCATTGGGTGGTGTATACGCTATGAAGTGGCTGGTACCGAGCTGTACAGGATTATGTTTCACGATGGCACTTCGATGGTAGTCGACACCTGGAAAGGTACGGCGCAAATCACGACTGTATCTGGGGAAACATCAAGGCAAGCTGTCAGTGTGGTTGTATGCGGCTCAGGCTCTTATAATGTTCATTTTTCTAGAATGCCTTTGCGCGACTCCACGCGAGACATGTTAGCCATGGAGCGGATGGAGGCCTTCAAGAAATTCGTCAATCTATTTGCATAATAAAGATGTCACGTATACTCGCGATCCCTTCTTCACTCTCGAGGCTGTAGCGGACAGTGGTACCTGGATTGGCAAGCACATGTACTATATGATCTCATAATTCTGACTGGAAACGCTCTCCTTCGAAAGCATACCTGAAATCAGAGGGCGGTAGCAAGCTTACTGGATGTATGCATTATATGGGGTATGACAATTCGACGAGCGACAAGTGAATCATGTTCGTTGCAATTTGAAGATGTCGAAATGAAAAACATAGCACCTCAAACGAAGACACCAATCGCGGGTACCACAGAACATTGACCGTAAGATCTACTCGAAAACAACGAGTCTCCGTACGGCGAATACATTAATACAGCTTCTATAAAACAAGCTCAGACTCAAGCTCGGAAATGTAGAGTACTGGAGCTAGAGACCGTGCTTCGCAAATCATGAACGCGACCAGGCCGTCGAGCTTCAGCAATTGTCCAGCGAAACGCATGCCACCGTCCCACACATCTACTTTCCTGCGCAAATGTTGCTGTATGAATGTTTTTGGCTAGGGACTCGACGGCGTTCTGCTACGAGTACCTGTTTCGTCATGGCATTTTTGACGCACGACGCGAGAATGAGGGAGAAAGAAGTTTGCAAGGCATGGCAGAAGTGATAGAAGTGGAACTTTGTAGCACAACGATTGTCGGCGCCGGTAGCACTTAGGGAGGGAATGAAACGATTTGGAATGGATGGTGCGCCGGCGAAGTCTGCGGAAAGGGAATGGGAAGAATGTATGCGGTGATCTTTGACATGGCTCGAGGCGATACGGGTCGCTCACTCGAGGCTTGCTTTCAACGGTGGTCCAACGTCTTTCAAGCCATGCCGATGGCCCATAGAGCGGAATTCTTCGAGTCGTAAATCACAAGGTTCCCGTCGTCCTGCAGTTCCAGCCGCCAGGGAGGCACTGAGAATCTGCCCACCTCCGTCTGCGATGCCCACGTTGGCTTATCGTTACCGTTGTAGATGACGAGGTTCGCATTCTCCTGCATCGCGAGGTACCACGGCGATGAGCCTTTTCCCGCGGTGCCCGTCTCCCATCGCGAACCTAGGCTGAAGTTGCCGTCGTTCGATAGGGTAGCCTCGTACCTCCCGTCAGGGGAACCCATCGACTCGCCGTTTTTCAGGATGCCGAAGTTGTACAGGACGTTGTTGTATGTCTTTTTGACCTCGAAGACCTGCGCGTTGTAGGAAATGCCGGTCCTGAACTGGGTCGTAATACCAAAGATCACGTCCTGATCCTTGAAGGATATGAGCGACAGGACGAGGAAGCAGAATGACGCCTTCCTCATCGAGTAGAACGTCAAC